TAAATATTTTAATTCACTCATTCACTGTGCACAGGATCGCTTACAATTTTTTTTTCCAAACGTTAGAATCCCTCGTCCCTTTAAAAGAAGTCATTTTGAGTTTTTAGACGTGCAAAAACTACCGCGAAGACGCTTAATTTATTGCTTTTAAACTTCTCAGCCGTACTAAAGTTGAATTTTGGCGGGCTACGGCGACGTACTCTCCCCAAGCCTCGTCAACCACGATAGCCGTAGCAGCGCCAGCTGTAGTGATTTGCTTAAACTCCTTATTATCTAGAGTCCGACATAACACTACCCTGAAAGCGGACGTCTACGCTATTTCCTCGTTGACGGATAGTTCTACTAACTTTTTTCCAATTCCCGAGGGTGTCCGCTTACGAGAGAGTTAAAAGTAGTCCATTTTAAAAAAGCTACTGAATTTAACTTAACTAAGTCACGCAGTTGAAAGTAAAGTAGGATTTCTAGAACTTAAATATAACATTCGAAACCTTTTACAAACTCTGAATAAAATGTATGAGGGTTTCACCAGATTCCATTGACTGCCCACAAAGATCCACAGAGTCCGAATTTGCGCCCCGGAACTGATGTAAATGAATAAACATATCACCCAAGAAAGAGCTTGTCAACAGTTCAGACGTAAATCGCGACCTTTGAAGCAGGTTTTAATCCTGTCGCTACTGAATTCATGTCTCAAATCGAGATTAAACAATATCAAAGGCTCTGAAGGCAGCGTAAAAGGACTGGATCAAGTTTAGTCAGTATGTTATCCTCGCCTGCATCAAAATATTCAGACGAGATATGTATTAGCTGGGCCCCCATTTATTGACAATGTTCGGCTGAAACAGTCAAATGTCGCTGTCGCCACGAATTATTTTGCAACGTTTTTCGACTTCCTCTCAGTAAATGACTTAAATTACATCAGAAGTATAACGACCTTTTTTCAGGTTCAACTTTTCCACAAACTTGCATCAAAACGGTAGGAGAAAAACGTCACGGAAGGGAAAAATTTGTCTAATCTCAGTTATTTGAACTGTGATTCTTGTGTGACAATCTCGTGATCACGCAATGTTCGCTGTGCCTATGCAAATTTTCTTTATAGTAAATGCGGTAAAAAGCACAGAAGTTCCTATTTCTAAAATGCCTTAAGAAAAGATAAAAATCCCTGCATTTACTGTTGTTGTTGATAAAAGGCCATAAGAAAGAGAAAAATCATTACATTTATTGTTCTTGTCCTAAGTTCTCAACGATGTTTCTCATAGACGGAACGACATGTACTCGTCGCTTGACCGGCACATTCAGAATATTTGTCGCTCCTACCGATGCCCCTTTGTGGGCAACTTGAATCAAATATGCTACTAAGAATTATGGCAAGCTCCTGAAAAATTCAGCGCCTTAAATTATCGGAGCTTCAATAAGTTCCATTTGCAAATATTCGTCGAAGGTCCTCACGGCAATATACAGTAATAGTAATTTTAAAATTGTGCCAATAAGAGTTGAATAAAAACCTAAAGTACCTGCAGATTTGAGTAAGAAATGTGAAAGGAACATTTGAGATAGCGGATAAATAACTGGTACTGGCATATTACATTCGTGGCGTAGTATTAAAATACAAATGTTGTTTACCATACCTCAAACAATGCTGCTTGTTCTCATTTCGACCTCCAATCTCAAGCGACAAGCGGAAATGAATCTGCTATCCTAAGCACAATTAAACATTAGTGTCCAACCTCTTTGCCAGCTAACTGACGAGCGACTCGGTTCCAGTTTTCTGTGCGGCTCGGTAATATACCATTTTTCTTTCTAATTACGATAGAACTGAACAGTTCACTGTGGAAATATTTCTCGCTTACGTAATACCGAAACATTTCAATTCAATCCTTCTGTCTTTATCGAAGAAACAACAAAGTGTTCATAACGCCAGATTAGAAATTTTGCAGGTTTTAATGTTGTGGATTTCGTGCATTATCCCGAATTTTCAGAGAATTTTAAAAGTACCCCCCAAAAAGTCGTAAAGTTTTGTCTGCTTCGTCCCGGTTAAATGAAGAACTTTACTTGCAAACCAATTGGCTGGAGGTAAATCCAGGATCTTTTGAATATGAAGGAGCAAACTTTGATTCAGAAACATAGAAGTTTTTGTTTTCTCCAGAGCCACAAGAAACTCAGAATTATTTCAAGCAAACAAATTTCAAGTACTAACTGACTCGCGAGGCTGTCGTTGACAGAGGTTTGACATAGCAAAGCTTCCCCATCATATTGAACCAACCGACAAATGGAAAGTGCAGACAAAATACCAAGTTTATCGTTTCACAAGATGTGCAAACAAAAAGCTGTGACCAGTCAAGAAGCCACCAACGAAACTACAGCACACTTGATTTGTTGAATAAAGACCTTAGTCGAAGTGAACACCAAAATACTTAGAACAATTTTTTTATGATAGAGATCTATTAAACCTCTCATTTAGAAAATAAGTACAAGTCGTGATACTCTAGGCACGCGGACGTTTTTCTTTATCTAAAGGCTTAGTTAATAACCTTTTAGCTACTTTTGCGAGGACATCACAAATCAATCACCCTTCATCTATGCCTTCATTATCTCCTTACTTCAAAAACTTAACATTAGACCTACAGCTACGTAAAATGTTTATTGTTTTGTCTCTCGTCTCCGCCTGAACTAATTTGCCCAGTCCTGAGGTTCTTGTGACTAACAAAGCAGGCAGCGGCGTTTAAGAGGTTGTTTAGTTCACCTTACATTCATTACTTGTGTTCTCGTGCCCGGAAGGCATGGCCAGGCGTATCACTTCTGGTTCATTATCATTTGTACTGTGGTCTTGTGATTCCTCCTGCCTACCATACTTCTCAGTCATTTCCACATTTTCAACATGACATGCTGCTGTAAAGTGAAAAGGTGCTCCAGTCTTGCACGCAACCGATACCTTCCCGTGACCAACGATAACAATCTCTTCTGAAATGTCAACCCTTCTCTCCAACAGATACTCGCCTTCTTTTAATAAAACGACTTGGTTCTTTACCTCGAGCTGCTTAACATTTTCAAAAACACGCCACAGCTGATCTGACGATTCCACAACGTGGACCTGAAGCTCTCCACAATACTCAGTGACTTCAGAGACATCCCGACCGAGGCTCAGGTGTTTAAACACTGCAGCAGCAGCCATTGCTTCTGGCTTTCTGCCCAACTCTGCCAAGATTATTGCCTTGGTGTGATAACCAAGCAGCCAGCAAGGGTCAGTTTTGATGGCAACTTCAGCATCGTTCAATTCAAGCTGCCGCGACGACTCCCTCTTGGATGGAATATCATTCTTTTTTGGGGCAGATTTTAAGAAGGCTAAGGCTTTGCTTGTGAGAATCTTTGGATTATTTGCACAAGCAGCCAGAGCCTTTTTAAACAGCGCCATTGCTTCATCCACTCGGCCACAATCGAGGCAAACTTTTGCTTCTCTTTTAATTGTTTGAATAAACTCCACTGTTGGCGACAGTATTATGTTCTCCATGTAAAAGGTTTTATTATACTTCAGAGGAACACCGTAAGTGCATTTAATTTGAACGTCACCAAGACCGACCATCACGGCATCTTCTAGAATTTTTAAGGGCTCGTGTAACTGGTACCTCCCTTCTTTCACTAAAATAACTAGATTCTGCGAAGTTCTTGTTTCAGTCACAATTTGAAAATCCTGGGATGTATGCACCACTTGAAGATCAAAGCACCCAAATCGATGCATAACTGCTGAAATGTTAGTACAACTCAATGGAAATAGATGATAGGCAACAGCACCTGCAGCAAGTGAAGCGCATCGTCTGCTAAGATGAGCAAGGCAGACAGCTCTCCAATAATACCCCTTCATCCAAGAGGGATCTTCAGTTATGGCCTTTTCTGAATCAGCTAAGGCCAGAAGGAGCCATTCCAGTTTTTTTTTTCCAGTAGGGTCTGCTGGTCCGACAGATTAAGGTAAGCGGCTGCTCTGTTGGTTAACACCTTGGAATCGTTTGGCAACACACTTAACGCTTCTGTATATGCTCCTACCGCGCTGTAATAATTTTGCTTCTTGAAAAAACTATTTCCTCTGTCTTTTAGCGCTCGGGCACGGTACATATTGGAATCAGCAGGATGGTAAGGCTTGGCAGAATTGTATTGTGTCTGTTATTTTCCTATTCTCGCATTGCTCAGACAGCCTTAGGCATTCTTCTGCCTTTGCCGCATTCCTCAACAACTTATGCGCTTCCCATAAATTAAGATAAACGATGGTCAGTATTAGATAAATCGGACCATAGAAATTTGTTCGAATCTCCAATACAATTTGTCCGATTGTCAGGTATTCTATTAATTTCTCATGTTCTGCGCCAGTTCCACGTACAGGTTCAACTGCATCCAATCCTTTATTAATGCAAATTAGCAGAGCCTCTAGAACTCCGGCCAAGTACACACCATCACCCATATCTTCCCTAATGACTGAAGATGTTTCAACACAGCTGTTTATTACGCACTTGTGTACTTGTGGCCACCTCTCTTTGAGGATATTTAGAAGCATATTCTCCGACATCTGGTGATCAAATTCACTGAGTATCTCGAGAGCGCTGGTCCTCGCCCTAATGTAATCAACAGACTCTGCTGGCATTGTCTTGCAAAGTTGTACGATTTCTTCGGCAAAAGGCTTGGCGTCATCTACTTTTCCCTCTTTATTCAGTAGGGATGCCAGATGCTGAAGAACACGAACCAGTAATTGCGGATTCAGAGGTTTTATTGCCCGTGCAAGTTTCAAAGCTCTCTTTTGACGATTCAGAGCTAATTCGAAATTACATGGCGAAACGTAGTTTTCTGCCCTTCCTATCAGCATTTGTAACTCTACAGCAAGTTGAGGACTAACTTTCAAATTCATTCTTTCAATCTCCAGCAGCGCTTTGTAATTCTTTTCCCACTGTTTTTCCAAAGCGTAATACGAAGCATCGTGTTCAAGAACTCGACATTTAATATCGTGATCAATGTTTACCTTGGAATTTTCCTGCTCTCTCAACTTCTTTACGGTTTCTTGAGAGAGTTCTTTCGCTGCTTTGCGGCTCTCGAGGTCAGGAGAGTTTTTTTTTTTACTGATACTTGCATTCAGCATCACTATAAGAATATCAGGATCGTCACAAGGCCGAATCTTAAGAGTTCGTAACCGAAATTCTGCGAACTCAGCGTGTAGTATACGAAATGAAACGTTATTTCCAATCAAGCAGTCAACAAATTAAAGCAATCCCTTCAAGGTTTCATCGCTGTAAATTTCATGAACGAAGTTTTCTCTTTCTAAATGATCTTTTAACTTCCGAAAATTTAACAAAAGAGCTATGAAGATATTTTGGACTTCCTTTTTGATTTTAACCCAATTTGAGACGTAATTTAATTCAAAGGTCAAACAGCCTTCACTCTTCTTCAGAAATGCAAAACGTAGTATGCGCATTGCTGCAACTAATGTATCTTTTCTTAATTGTTCAGTAAGATTATATCGAACCACTTCCTGAATAAGTTTGTGCACACTGAACACTCTGCTCTGCCGATCCATCGAGAAAAGAGAATAACTGGTCAATACTTTGAAAAGGGAAGCAACGTCAATCTCAGAAAGTGCAGCATCTCTTAACTCCGCTTGATCCAGTGCAGGAGACCAAGGATTGATGACCTCTAGAGGGATATTTTCAGACTCTAGAAAGGATGCAATACGCATCATAGTGGCAGCAGCAGGCGATTTGTCAGCTACAAATTCAAAATTCAACTCCCAGGTGGTGTTCACAGATAAACGATGCTGAGCCTCTAAACTGAGGGCCGTAACTGGCTGCTGTGCTAAGAGACGGAGCTTTACATCTCGGTACTTGTCGAGGTAAGCTTTAAAGGCACAAGGAATGGGAAGCGCAGATATGTAGGCTGCTGCTTGCTCGAGGGCCAACGCTAAACCTCCCAGCTCCTTAACCAGGTCAATTGCTTCTTTGTAAAAGGATTCCCCTTCAAGGCCCACTCTTTGCATTAGAAACATTGCATTTTTTTGCATTAGAAACATTTGCATTTTTTGCCAGGACCATTTGCATATTTTCTTCACACCACTTGGAAACTTTGTGCCCGTCAACTCATCTGCATTATCTACTACAAGAAGCCATGGACAATTTTTATTTTATAAGAGGGCCAGAAATCTGTTCAGGGAGTCATCAATAGTCTCACTCGTAGACATTGGAATATCAAGTAGAGCCAAGTTTTCGGCAACTGATTTACGCACATTTTCATTACTTTCCCCATTAATCCAAAACACTCCACCTGTGAGGTGTTTCTTACATCTCCAGGCAAATTCTACAGCCAGTGAAGTCTTTCCACATCCTCCAAGGTCGCAAATGGTTTTTATGCAGCAAGATGTGCCTGAAAAATGTGCAGACTCCTTATCCAGTATCAAATTCTGTTCTAACCAAGCCAAGGCTGGCTCTCGCCCAGTGAATTCGTGTAATCTACAGGGTGCAGTACATAAAGTAGAAATATCTTCTTCACTTTGTCCAATTGAGAAATTCGCTTTCAAGCTTTGAATTTCACTTTTTACGTCTTTCACTTCAGATTTCATGCTTTTGAGACCAATCTCTAAGTTGGACACTTTACATGTTGTTTTGTTGAGTTACAGTGCAATGTTATGCATACAGCTTGC